TTTAGGGGGGGAAAACACTGGTTGTATCAAAATAAGTCATATTCAGAGCATAGGCATACCCAGGGTGGCTGCTGCCCCCCCATCAAGTAAATAAATAAAAATACATAACTAAAAGTAGAAATTGTAGAAAGATTTTGACAGATTTTTCTCAGCACTGTCAAAAGAAAGTAATTTAAAACAACTGTTGTTGAGACATTTCATTCCGAATCTGCTAGACAGAGCCAGACAGAGGACGATGTTATGTTATGCCCCCCCCCTCCCATAAATCCTGGCTACGACCACGACTCAGAGTAGACCTACTGAATAACTGAATGTTATGACTAAGTTAAGTCCATGTTTCAGGGAGCCTAGTTGGAGTATGACTCATAGTGCAATCCTAACAACATCTACTCAGAAGTAAGTTCTAATTACTTTACCATGGCTTATACACAGGGTTAAGATTGCAGACTCAGTGGCGTAGCGTGGGGGGTGCAGGGGAGGCCGGCCGCACCGGGCGCAACATCTGGGGGTTAGGGTTAGGGAGCGCAAATCCACGGGTTAGGGGGCGCAAATTACTTCCCTTGCCCCGGGTGCTGACAAGCCACGCTACGCCACTGTGCAGACTTAGTCACATAGAACCCAATTTTTATTGAGAACGACTTCATAAGCATCCAAAGTGCTCAGAGAAAAAGCAGCGATGGTTTTTTTACAAGTTAAGCCAACAGGAAAGATAAATATAAAACCCAGCTTTACTGTAGTGTAACGAAAAGGCAAAAGAAATGGGGAGAGTCATGCTGGAGAGGTGGTCATGCTAATTAAAATGAACTGGGCAATTTTAAGATCAGACTTATTCTAGTCCCTTTAATGAGGATGTAGACAAATGTTTCTCCCTTGATTTTAATTCAGCTTCCTGAAACAGTTTGGCGCAATGCAAAGGAATCGGGACTGCCACCCAGTTGGAGGGAAAAAGCTGATTAATCAACTGAATCTGAAGGGAAGGATTTGTACCAACACCTGACCAATGAGGAATTTGTCAGCAAATGGCAGAAAACCATGGCTAAAAAAGCCACCTCTATTGGTCTCTCACACCCCCCCCCAAACTGTATTACCTGGGTTATGAAGATGCCCTAAAGACGTTAAAGCAAAGATAATGCACACAGTGACTTGCGATCTCGATCACACGCAGTCTGTAGTCCGCTGGCAGTAGGAGTACAATATGGGCATGTCTTTAAGTTAACATCTTACATTAAAAACCCGACAGTACCAAACTATCGAAGGCTTTTCATCAAAGCCAGACTAAACGTCTTTCCTTCTGCAGTGTTGGATGGCAGGTTGAGAGGAGTTCCTTACCAGGACAGACTTTGCTCGTGTGCTCAAGACATCAATTCCATAAAACATATTTTGTTGCACTGTGCAAAATATGAGCAAGCCAGGGCTGAACTGATACTACCCTTGCTGGTACCTTTCCTGGGAAAATCAGAGGCTCACTATGTCAGGTTCTTAGTAGAAGACCGGACAAACGCTAGAACATTAGCAGTGGCAAAGTTTTTATTGGTGGTTGCAAGAACCAATGATCCCTATATTCTGAACAAAATGCTTGTTTAACCTGGAGGTAGGCTGTATGAATTGTGCATTGCTTTATAACGATTTGTTGGGTCTCTGGACCGTAATAAAGATTGTTGTTGTTGTTGAATCTGATTCAACTGAATCTGAGTCAACAAGAGTTAGAAAGAGAGAGGAAAAAACCTTCCTTCCTTTAAGATGGTGCATGCATATGTCTTAGAAAGCACATTCCCTTCCATGTTGGACCAAAAGAGGAATGCTACCTGCTGGTTGTGGTCCTATATGCACTTTCCCAGGAGTAAGCTTCATTAAATGCAATATAAATTACTTCCAATAAAACATGGATATGATGGTACTGTGTCTTGTTTTAAACTGGCTTTTAAACCAAGTGTTTTAACCAATTTAATCCGTTTCAACCAATAAATTAAATTAAAGATGGCAACCTTAAAAATAATGGAAACTATGGATGATGGATATTACCACTGCTGAAATCACAAGCAAAAGTTGGTGGGGAAATTATGGGTAATTGCTTCGACTGCAAATTCAGCCAATGAATAATGCCGCACCACTCACAGGGAACAGGAACTGACTAATCAAGGGCCAGTTCACACAAGTGAACAGAAAGCAGTTAATTAAACGGGCAGAAGCCACTAATGGGGCAAGAAGGAAATCATTACTTAAAGAGCCAGTTGCGGGGAGAAATGGCGCCTTTGCTGACCAGGACTTATTTATGAGTAAACATAATAGGAGAATAAGTGCCTGTGAGGAAGGGCATTGCTAGTCGTTTATGGAGAATATAGCACTGTAATTAAGTGCCAAGCAGAGTTACTCTGCTAGTTTCTAAAAGCAATGCTTCCGGTGTTAAAGGTTTGGAAGCAACCACTGATCTGATGGTGAATGGGGCCATTTCTGCAGGAACTGGCTCCATATAAATAGCATGCCCACTCAATTTGCTACCAGTGCTGAGGAATCAGAATTTCAAATCAGTCTTTCATTATTGGTACCTTTCTTCATTGGACAAATGGATGCTCCAGCGAGGTACAATAATGATGAGGATTGAACGTTGGAAATTAAAAGCTATAGATCCCAGTAAGGACCAATGTGAGAAGCAGTGTGTGTGTGTGTGTGTGTGTGTGTGTGAGAGAGAGAGAGAGAGAGAGAGAGAGAGAGATCTGTAGCACTAGAAATATTAAGACTGCATTCTTAAACACACTGAACCCTACTGAAGGCCCAGGGAAGCCTAGCGTGGGGGCAGTTCCGTTTTGTCCATTGTTTTATAACAGCCTTTGCTATTGTTAACAACACTGCAAGCTATATTTCTGTTTTCTGTAATTTTAGAAGATACAGGCATGGTTCCACAACAAAATGTTGCAGCGTAAAGTGCTTCCGTTTAGGTTTCTGTCTTGATTTAATTGCGTCATTCCCTCCTCTCCCCGCAGTTTCTTTGCTTCTCCCACTCCTTCAAAATATCGCTACGGGGTGAAATAAAAAATTCAAGGTCACACACACACAAAAAAGATAAATATTCATAACTGCATATATAAACCACATGTCTGAAACCCCACAGAAAAAGTCCTGAAACCATTTTGTCCCTCCCAAATTGACCTCAAATATTTCTCTGCTAGGTCAAAGGAAAATGGAAAAGCCTCTCCATTGTCTTTTCATTCACAAATCCTGTCTTAAGGGTATGTCTGTGTATGAATAGGGTGAGCCTGTGACCTGGCTCAGGAACTAAGTATTTATCATTATAAAAGACTGGCCAGGCTCCCCAGGGTATCCAATCAAGTGACCAATAAGAGGTAAACTGCCAGACAGGAGATAAACAACGCACTCAAATTTCTGTTGTAGACCGCCTTTTCTGTGATGTAGGTATGATGTTTGTGGGGGGTGGTCTTGGGTTACACCCCTTCTGTGATGTATGTATGATGTATGGAGGAGTGGTCTTGAGCTCCAGGGCAGGGAATTTAAAATGTCTATATAAGGGTGGGCACACCTTTGTTCTGGGTCCTCCTCCTTTCCTGCGTGTGAAGGGGGACCCTGTTGCAACAGATCAATAAAGATCAGGCTTACGAGCTGCTTTGCTTTTCAATATTCTCTGGTTGGCCTCTGTTATTTTCTCCTGGAGAACCTACAAAGGACTCTACAACGGCTCTTGTGTTCCCCATAAGGGCAGATTTTTGTTTATTACAGGGGGAAATCATTCCAATGAAGCCATTTGCTATGTGTTTAGCTAGCATACTACAGAATTCCAAGTTTACTTTGGGGCTTCTTTGTTGCCGTATTTCTGAAACGGCAAGAGCGAAAACCCTAAAGCCCTCTTCATGACATTTCCCAGAAGCTATCAGTCCACAAGCAAAGGAAGGTCTAAGAAGCTGACTTCAATCTACTCAAATGCTCTTATCTCTGTTTCTAAGGTCAGTGGGAAACATGCCAAAATGATTATGCAGGAAGTAGCTCCGAGGGATTATCTTATTTGTCAAAGTAATAACAGTGAATTCAATATGTGTAAATCTCTTCTCCTGATGCAACACAGTGGTGCTTTGGGATACTAGAGGGAGTTGGACGTGAATTGTTTTCTAGGCTGCCCGTCTTCTGGGACAGTTTGTAGATGATCTGTCCTTCTCTCTCTCTCTCTCTATATATATATATACCTTCGTTCCGGAGGTCTGTTCTTAACCTGAAACCGTTCTTAACCTGAAGCACCACTTTAGCTAATGGGGCCTCCCGCTGCTGCCCCGCTGCCGGAGCACGATTTCTGTTCTCATCCTGAAGCAAAGTTCTTAACCCGAAGTAATATTTCTGGGTTAGCAGAGTCTGAAGCAAGAAACAAGATTTGGGCTCCACTCTTAAATATGGAGGTCTGGCTGGAAGAAAAATGGACATTATAAATGTTGAGTGTTTTTTTAATTTTTTTGTTTTTTCTTTTTTTCTTCTTTGAAAATTTCAATAAATATCTTTCAAAAAACAAAAACAGAGTCTGTAACCTGAAGTGTATGTAACCTGAGGTACCACTGTATATGATACTTCTTTTGTGAACGCTTCTAGTTTAAGGAAGCAAAGGTATCCTGAAAAGTGCAGATGTGCAGGTGGTTTGTGTAGAATTAGATGACAGATCCATCTATCCAGGGTAGATAATTTCCTTTGGCCAGCAGGGACTCACTACAGTATTAGGCAAAGGTCCTTTCCATTCCTGGCCACTTGAAAATTTCTTGCCATTGGAGACATTGGGAACCGAGTTTGAGATCTTATGCAACATATGTGCTCTGTCACTGAGCTGGAGAAAAATCCATAGTGAAATCTTGGGACCCAGAGTGAGTGGAAAGTGTGTGTTTGTATGTGAGGGGGGGGTGGATTCCCAGTACTTGCAGCCCTTTTCGAATTTGGGTCCCCAGATGTTATCGGACTACAACTCCCATCATCCCTAGCTATGAAGACCAGCGGTAAGGAATGATGGGAGTTGTAGTCCAACACCACGAGGGAACCCAAGTTTGAGAAAGGCTAGCTTAGAGGCCGTAGATAATTTGATTTACAACAACCTCATAGCTCATCCTTGCATTTGGGAGATCAGAAACAAATTCCTCAATTGTGCAATTTTCCAACATTTATAGAAGCTGCAGAATTCAGCCTGCTTGACGCAAAATGTGGGTGATTCTGCAGTAGGAGTCTGATTGTTTTTAGGACAGAGTACACTTCTGGCTTGCCTTTCTCTTTATTTTCTCTCCTCTTCCAATTCCTTTTCATCTCACCTGCACGGACACAAATGATGGTCAATGATTACTGAATTTCCTCTTAATCAGTCTTTAAAACCTGTTTCAAACCTTTCAAGAAGAATGCACTGTAGTTAGAATGCAGGGAAAGGAATGCGTTTATCGTGCATTAGGAGATTTTTTTACGATTGTGCTATCATGTATTTTTCCTTCGGACTCTGGGCTCTTTCACCTATAAGAAGGATAAAAATACTTTCCATAGTCATTATCACAGCCTTGGCTTTGATTTTTTCTCTGTAATGTAAGAGCTATTTTCTTTGGATCTCAGCTTCAGTAACAATAACAATAGTATTTCAATACTATGATTGTTATCTCTTTAGCAACATTTTCATATAATCCTAAATATAGCTGACCCTCAAGGGTACTGTGTTTTTATGACTCTGAGAACGACGCCTACCAAAACCCAAAAATCTCTCTCGCACGTTGAAGCTTGTGTATCAGAAGTGATGAGGCCATTTAGAAATTTCTGGAAGCCATCCATAAATCAGTTTTGTCTGATGACTTGGATTTAAGCAATTTATAGGCTGATATTAACTGAATAATAATAATAATAATAATAATAATAATAATAATAATAATAATAATTTTACCCTATACATCTTCCAACATATATAAAAACAAAATAAAACTATACAGGACTGCCTTCAGATGTCTTCTAAAGGTTGTAGAGTTAATTATCCCCTTGGCTTAGGGGGTCGCCTAAGTTTATACCCTTCAAGCTTTCTCCGATGAAAATAAGGGTGTCCTACCATGTCCACCAACATTTCTCTGATGAAAATAAGGACGTCCTAAGGAAAAATCCTAGACAAACCTAGACAGCATCTTAAAAAGCAGAGACATCACCTTGCCAACAAAGGTCCGTATAGTTAAAGCTATGGTTTTTCCAGTAGTGATGTATGGAACTGAGAGCTGGACCATAAAGAAGGCTGATCGCTGAAAAATTGATGCTTTTGAATTATGGTGCTGGAGGAGACTCTTGAGAGTCCCATGGACTGCAAGAAGATCAAACCGATCCATTCTTAAGGAAATCAGCCCTGAGTGCTCACTGGAAGGACAGATCCTGAAGCTGAGGCTCCAATACTTTGGCCACCTCATGAGAAGAGAAGACTCCCTGGAAAAGACCCTGATGTTGGGAAAGATGGAGGGCACAAGGAGAAGGGGGCGACAGAGGATGAGATGGTTGGATAGTGTTCTCGAAGCTACCAGCATGAGTTTGACCAAACTGCGGGAGGCAGTGGAAGACAGGAGTGCCTGCCGTGCTCTGGTCCATGGGGTAATGAAGAGTCGGACATGACTAAATGGCTAAACAACAACAACCATTCCTTCACAGATAAACCTCAGTAGGAGAAAACAAAAAAGTAGCATGTGAAATATCCCTGAGCCTGACCACGCCAGCAACTTTACAGCTTCAAGAATGAAGCAGTAGAGAACTGGAAGTACTGGCCTGACAATCTTCTCTCTTTAAAGGCAGGTCGCTTTTTTGTTTTGTTTTTTTATAAGCATGTGGATTACAGTAATGTATAAGACATGGAAACTGGTCGGACCGAAACAGGCCTCTGAAACCGGCAGGAAACGCCAGCCGGTTCATAAGAGGGCAGCAAGGTTAACTTGGGTGATGGGCTAATACGATTACCGTATTTTTTGCTCTATAAGACTCACTTTTTCTCTCCTAAAGAGTAATGGGAAATGTGTGTGCGTCTTGTGGAGCGAATGCAGGCTGCGCAGCTATCACAGAAGCCAGAACAGCAAGAGGGATTGCTGTTTTCACTGTGCAGTGATCCCTCTTGCTGTTCTGGCTTCTGAGATTCAGAATATTTTTTTTCTTGTTTTCCTCCTCCAAAAACTAAGTGCGTTTTGTGGTCTGGTGCATCTTATAGAGTGAAAAATACGGTATATATTTTTCTAGTGCTTTGCCATATAAATAATCAGAATTGGACAGGACCCTGAGGATCATCTAGACCAACTCCCTGCAATTCAGGAATATGCAGCTGCCCTTTATTGGGATCAAACTTGAAACCTTGGCATTATCAGCGCCACACTCTAACCATATGCGCTATCCAGCTGATGTATAAGATATACTGGCTACCACTCAGCTTCTAGGCTGGTATTAACCTTTGAAGCACTCAATGGCTTGGGCTACATGACCTAAAATGTCTCCTTATGGATGTCCTTCTCACACCCCTGATATCATCTTCAGAGATCCTGAAGGAGCATCTCCACCCCCATCGTTCAGCCTGGACACTGAGGTCCAGCTCCGAGGGCCTTCTGGTGGTTCCCTCGCTGCGAGAAGTGAGGTTACAGGGCACCAGGCAGAGGGCCTTCTCAGTAGTGGTGCCCACCCTGTGGAACACCTTCACATCAGATGTCAAGGAAATAAACAACTATCTGACTTGTTTAGGGAAATTTATAATGTTTGATGTTTTATTATGCTTTTATGTATGTTGAAAGCACCCCAGAGTGGCTGGGGGAACCCAGCCAGATGGGCAGGGTATAAATATATTATTATTATTATTATTATTATTATTTGTTGTTGTTTAGTCGTTTAGTCGTGTCCGACTCTTCGTGACCCCATGGACCAGAGCACGCCAGGCACCTCTGTCCTCCACTACCTCCCGCAGTTTAGTCAAACTCATGCTGGTAACCTCGAAAACACTATCCAACCATCTCGTCCTCTGTCGTCCCCTTCTCCTTGTGCCCTCCATCTTTCCCAACATCAGGGTCTTTTCCAGGGAGTCTTCTCTTCTCATGAGGTGGCCAAAGTATTGGAGCCTCAGCTTCAGGATCTGTCCTTCCAGTGAGCACTCACGGCTGATTTCCCTAAGAATGGATCGGTTTGATCTTCTTGCAGTCCATGGGACTCTCAAGAGTCTTCTCCAGCACCATAATTCAAAAGCATCAATTCTTCGGCGATCAGCCTTCTTTATGGTCCAGCTCTCACTTCCATACATCACTACTGGGAAAACCATGGCTTTAACTATGCGGACCTTTGTTGGCAAGGTGACGTCTCTACTTCTCAAGATGCTGTCTAGGCCTGTCATTGCCTTTCTCCCAAGAAGCAGGCGTCTTTTAATTTCGTGGCTGCTGTCACCACCAATTATTAATTATTATTATTATTATTATTATTATTATTATTATTATTATCCTTCCATGGTTGCCCACACCAAATGAGGGTGAGCCACATGGAAGCACCGCAGTTGTATGACCCCAGAAAAGTTGGTCTGGGACCTACAGCATGGTCTTTTTAGCCAAGACTGTTTTAATTTTCCTTTGCTTCAGAGTTTTAAAAAAGCATCTTAGTGCTTTTTAGACCTTGGGCACCAGTATTTCATCTGCTGCCGGTTTTGTTCTGACATCGTTTTGATCGTATATTTATGTTTTATGGTTTCTTGTTAATGGGTTTTTACTGTTGCTAATACACACACAAACCTGAGCACCACCGCCCTGGATGCAAAGATCGTAAAGTCTGGTTAACATTCTACTTGGATAGTTCTCCATCTACAAAGAAAGTCCCTCCTCCTGACAGAACTCCTAATTGGCTCTCTTTCTTCCGGAATATGAGCTTAGCCTTATTCAAGGTCTCTTGTACTTTGAGCCACATCAAATTGGGAGGCCTTGCTGCATAATTTATGTGGCAGCCCCAAACGATTTCCTGCATCCCTATGCTGGAATATCCACAGATTGCGTATACCTGTGTGCTTTGCCCAAAAAACATCCCCCATTGCCAGATGTTGAGGCTGTGAAGGTACATTTAACCCAAAGGGGAGGTGCAGGAAATGTCTAGAAGAGCAATATCCAAGCAAAGATTCCATTTCGTTCCATTATTTATTTTTAAAGTCCCATTCAGCCCTTTGGACAAAGGCCAGAGCAGGCAGCTTATGATTCTTCTTTCTTTTTTTTATGTAAAGAAAAAAAAATCCTATAAAGCAGTCGTGAGGTAAAATTTGTAATAGTCGAAAAGGAAACAGATCGGAACAGAAAATAAAAGCAATGCAGGTCAAGAGCCTTCTCAAAAGGTTACTCACTGGAAAGGAGGGCAGCAAAATTGCCATTTGGGCCTTCCTCACAGGGCATTCCACAACCTAGGCAAAAAATCCTGTCTCAGGCAATCTCCAGTAGTTGGAAGTAAAGAGTGCAGCGTGCCAGTTGCTGTACAGAAAATCATCCAAGCAGGCTGCGAAGAAGAAGGAGAAGGAGAAGGAGAAGGAGAAGGAGAAGGAGAAGGAGAAGGAGAAGAAGAAGAAGAAGAAGAAGAAGAAGAAGAAGAAGAAGAAGAAGAAGAAGAAATTTATACCCTGCCCATCTGGCTGGGTTTCCCCAGCCACTCCGGGTGGCTCCCAATAGAATATTAAAAACACAATAAACCTCAAACATTAAAAACTTCCCTAAACAGGGCTGCCTTCAGATGCCTTCTAAACGTCAGGTAGTAGTTTATTTCCTTGACATCTGATAGGAGGGCGTTCCACAGGGAGGGTGCCACCACCAAGAAGGCCCTCTGCCTGGTTCCCTGTAACTTCACTTCTTGCAGTGAGGGAACCGTCAAAAGGCCCTCGGTGCTGGACCTCAGTGTCCGGGCTGGACGATGGGGGTGGAGACGCTCCTTCAGATATACTGGGTCGAGGCTTCACAAGTACACCGAGCAAAACAATGACTCAAACCCTCCAAGTGTTCCTATTTTCCAGGGACAGTCTCGGATTTACAGAGGCCGTCCCGGTTTCTGATCTGATCCCAGAATGCCCCGCTTTTCTTCAGGACACCCCAGTTTTCATCAGAGAAATATTGGATGGTGTGATAGGTTGTCCCTATCATCATCAGATAAATGTTGGAGGGTATGGAGTTATCCGACCCATGAGCCTTCAGAAGGCAGGCCTGTATAGGGAAGTTTTCTTTAAAAAATGTTCAATGTTTTATTATGTTTTTATATATGTTGGAAGCTGTGCTGAGTGGCTGGGACATCCCAGTCAGATGGACAGTGTATAAAT